AAAGAGATGTGTGGTAGTTTTCCCCATCCTGAATATGATCATCCTATATATTATATCCCTGATCCTTGTCATATGCTTAAATTAGCTCGAAACGCTCTGTGTAGTATTGGTATCTTTGTTGATGAACAAAATCAATATATAAAGTGGGACCATATTAAAGCATTGCATAAACTGCAAGAAGAAGAAGGATTTAAGTTTGCAAATAAACTTGGCAATTACCACATTGACTTTCGCAGACATAAAATGAATGTTAAAATTGCAGCTCAAACGCTAAGTGGTTCAGTTGCTGATGCTATAGAGTTTTTGATGGTCTCAGGTCATCCAACTTTTATTGATGCCCAAGGCACAATTAATTTTATTAGAACTTTAGATAAATTATTTGACTTGTTAAACTCTAAAAACCTTTTTGAAAAAGGATCTAAGAAACCTTTGTTTTTGAATGAAGCTCCAAAATGGATAGAAACCATAGAAAAATCTGTAAATTACTTAGTTAATTTATCAGACCTATCTAAAACTTCTTTAATTAAACACAGAAGAAAGACATTTGTACTTGGTTTCATTAACCTTTTATCTAGACATGAGAATCCTTTTGAATTTATTTTAACATATAAACTGTCACATGATCATGTTGAATTATTATTTGCTTGTATTCGAGGCAAAAATGGTTTCAATAACAATCCAGATGCACGTCAGTTAAAATCTGCTTTAAAAAGAATTTTATTAAGAAACTCTATCATAGGATCAAAATTTAGCAACTGCCTTACTTTTGACCAAAAATCTTCTGGCTCAATCTTTTTATTAAAGTGGAGTAAAAGGAGATCTCCTCTTGTTGAGCAAAATATAATATCTAGTGAGGATTCTAACTATTTTAAAGACCTTGCTGGTTGTCTTTCATCAGTCTCTACTTCAATTTATAAAGAAGCTATACTTAGATATATTGCAGGGTTCATTGTAAGAAAACTTTATAGTAAAATTACATGTCTGACTTGTGCCAATAGTTTAATTTCTCCGAAGACTTTATCCACTGATCATGAGTATTCTATATTTTGCAGTTCATCGTGGAAAAGTTTTACAACTTTTAAAAATCGAGGTGGTTTAATCTTTCCATCCTGTAGTGTTTTAAAGATTGTTGAAAAATGTGAGCACGTTTTTAAAGTTTTGGTGTGTGGGGCAGACCCCCATAATTTAAAAATATCTTCTAAAAAAAATCTTAAAACCTATCTGATGCACTTTATAAATCAAAAACTTGCAAATGACGCACTGTTTACTGAACTAAATATGCATGATTTAGAACATGAGATTTTGACTGAAGACATGCATTCTTCACAGCTTTTTAAAAAAATTATAGAAAAATATTTAACATTGCGTCTACACTCATATGGTCAGCTGTTCACTAGAAATGAGTTGCATAAAGGAAAGATTGGATTACGGCAACAGTCCAATAAGCTTGTTTTGTTCAAAGGTTTATGAAAAATTACAATAATAATATTCAATATTATTTGTAAGCTATTTATGCCAAAAAATAAAATTAATTCTTTAAAACAAAAATTTTATTATTTCTGAAAATTCCTTAACTGTAACTGTTAACTGTGTGTTACAGTTTTTTGAACTAATTTAAATTTTTTAATTGAAAACCTACATTAAAAATAAAAATTTATACCTATTTATATCAGCAACACTTTTGATTTATTTTCATAATGAAATATGTGTTCTTTTATAACAATAACTTAAAGGGGTCCAATAGGGTACTTTTAAGTTACAGTTGTAAAAGTCAAAAACATATTTTTTGCCAACATATATTTATATTTGCCAAGTAAAAATGTAATATCTTTGTATTATATAATAACTTCTAACTTTCTTTATCTACAAACGCTGTTTTTAAATAACAGTTTATAAATAGATATTTTTAACATTTAAAAAGTTAACATTGCCAAAATGTTTTTTTCTTTGCTGCGGCTACCGGCTTTATAACCTTCAAAAACTTGCTTCATATTTTTTTACGGAATTTATACGAAGTTAGACATCTAGTTAAATATATATCATTGGTTTTTACACAGTAATTGGTCAGCTTTACGTGAAAATAAAGTATTGGCAATTTGCTTAAATTTTTATTTACGTAAAAATGAACAGTTTATATAAAAATGCCGGGTGAATAAAAAAAAGCAATTGCTTTTACTCTGTACTTGGTCAGTTTTATGTAAATAAAATTTTTATCAATTTTGATTAAGTTTTTATTCACGTAAAACTGAGCAATTACTGAGTAAATTGCTTAACTGTGCGTGAATAAAAATTTGTGAAAAACTGTAGAAGTTTTTATTCACGTAAAACTGACCAATTACTGAGAAAAAGCAAATGCTTTATTTTATTCACCCGGCCTAACATCTATCCAATATCATCTGAAAATTCAACGACCCATAATAACATCTTTAGAAAGATGTAACTACATCTGGTAATTTTTCTCCAAGTCCAATAACATCTGGAAGAATTTTCTCCAGATCCTTTTTTTTTTTTTTTTTTTTTTTTACATTTCTTCAATATTTATAAAATTACAAGTTAGGATATAATAATATAAACAATTGCAAGTGAGGATTTTTACTATAAATATATGTAGGATTTTTACTATAAATATATAAAGAATGCGGAGACTCGTAGAAGACCTTAAGGTCTTGTCGTCGAGAACCGCTGCAAACTCGTTACAAATTTACGTGTTAAATGTTTTAAAATAAATAAAAAAACTGTGTTTAACAATATTAGAAGAAAAACATAATTTAAATAAAAATAGAAATTTACAAATGAATTTCCTATTAAAAGTATAAAAGTATATTATCAATAGACAAAATGAATTTCTAAAGTTTTCTTTTATATGAGGTATAAGTCCATTCATGAGAAAAGTCAAAATATTTCAAAACTATTTTATTCCAAAGAAAGGCTCCTCGGAAAGAAGCACAAGATTTACCAAAATTTGTATGCAAAAATTGTAGTCGAAAAAAATAATCATTTCGTAGATTGTACTTGTTTTTTTCTTTTATTGAGTATAGGTTATAAAAGGAAGAAGGGGAATCGTTGGTTTTACATTTATACATAGAACATAAAATATTATAAACGTTAAGCTGATATATATATAAAATATTCATTTCAAGTAAAAGAGGTCTGGCATGAGTAAAAAGGTCTTTAAAGTTTATAAGACGTGCAATGTGTTTCTGTTGACGATGAAGAGGTTCTAGCATACTTTTGTTCACACTACCCCCACGCAATATTAGCGTAGTTAATATGGCAGTGAATAAAGGAAAAATATAATTGAATTAAAATATGTTTATTTAAGAAACTTCTTGATTTATATAATATTCCTATAGTTCTAGCAATTTTGTTATTTAGATTGTTAACGTGATTTTTCCATTTAAGATTTTCATCAATATAAATGCCTAAAAATTGTGTAATTTTTATTCGCTTTATTTCAATGTTGTCAACAAAAATAAGTGGCGTTATACTTGGAATTCATTTTTTTTTTGAAGATCTAGTTACATCTGAAAAAATTCCTATATTTAACAACATCTGGATAAAATAATGCGTTAATAGTTAATTCTTTTTCCAGATATAGCTACACCTGGAAAAATTCCTATATGTAACAACATCTGGTTAAAATCTAATGCGTTATAAGATAATATTTTTTCCCAGATGTAGTTACATATGAAAAAAATTCCTACATGTAACTTCATCTGGTTAAAATAATGTATTTATAGTTAATATTTTTAAAGTCCACAGGTGTAGTTGCACAGATGTTATTTTGATAACTTAAAAGATGTTACTATATCCGTAATATTCATTTAATTCTTGCACAGATTTGTTAGACATCAAAGAAATTTCAAATCTTGTTAGACAGATGTTATCATACTTCATTGTATTTACAGATGTGGTAGACAGATGTTATTATACATCATTATATTTACAGATGTTATCGGACAGATATTATTAGACATGGTAAAAACTGATGTAATTATGCTGACCCTTCCTTAGGATGATCCAAAGTATTTTGACTTTTTAATAAAATGCAGACTATCGAATTTATCTATTTTTCCAAACTAATTTTATAACTTTTCAGGTCTACGTTTTATTGAGTTTTCAAAATTATTTTTTGAATCATCTAAAGAATGTCAACCTTCCTCAATACTAATTAAAAATTTACCGATCCGCCATTTTTGCTTACCGAATTTGTTTTTGTTTTTAAATTTTGCCGCATTAATTATCAAATAAAATAAATTTGGCTTGCGTAACAGAATGCAACAAAGATTTAAAGCTTTTAGTTAAAGCATAGTCATAATCTTATATATATTTGTCAATTCTGATTGATTGCTTGATTGTTTATTCCCGGTTAGCAGCCGGACCGTTGGTCCTGGAGACTTTGTGAGGTAATATCAACTGTTTAGAAAGATGTGGTTTGCTCTATGCATGCTGCTGCGGGGAACGAGTGGGGAAATATTGTTTTTTGGTGGTAATTAATTCATTTTAGGTTATTTTATTTTGTGGTGGTCAACTTGGCACTGGGGCATCAGGTCCGTATCCAGCATTTTTTGGTCTTCGAGATATCTAACTTCCAGACATGGAGCAAACTCTAAACATTTATATGTTTATACTTATGTCAAATAAGGATACTTTGCAAAAAATTGCGATGATTAGAGCTTGGGAACAAAAAAGCCCCAAAATTTGTGCTCCCCCTACCCCAAACGTGAGAGCAACAAGTTGATAAAATATTTTTTTTACTAATTTTAACTAGACTTATATTCATCGATAACTTTTAAATTTCATAGTAAAATATTTCAGCGTTCAAAATATAACAATATAAAATTTGCAACCCCATCAAATTGAGGGGGGTTTAAATTTTATATAGTCAAAATTTTTGAACACTAAAATTTTTATTATGAAATTTAAAATTTTTTTTTTTTTCGACTATGCTTTTTTTTTTTATGACTATGCTTTCGACTATGCTTTTTTTTTTTATGACTATGCTTTCTTATCTGTTACTAGCAGAGGTACCCACGTCGCTGGGTTCCGGCAAAACAAATCAAAGTTGCTGGTGTACAAAGAAAACCCACCCTCCAAAAACGACGTTGGTTGCCAAAAAGTATGGAGTCCCAAAGAACACATTATCAACCTGGATTAAAAATAAAACCAAGTTATTAACCTCACTGGAAAAAAATGGCTCAAAATCTAAACGGAAGAAACTTCGTAGTGGTAATTTCAAAAATGTAGACAAGGCCATATACACGTGGTTTGTTGCAAAAAGAAGTCAACAAGTACCAATTGATGGTACCATACTAAAAGAAAAGGCAATAAAATTCGCAGAAACATTAGGAGAGTTGGATTTTAAAGCATCTGATTGTTGGTTTCATAGTTGGAAAGAAAGGTCAGTTAAATTTTTTCAAATCTTGTTCAATTTTAATATAAACAAATAACATGTATTTGTTTATATTTAATTTATTTAATTTTTTAAACGTGTAATTAAAATTCAACTATTCTGTTCCTATTTTTAGGAATGGCATCAGCTTTAAAATAATCTCAGGCGAAAGTGCCGCCGTGACAAATAATAAGACTGCTTCGTGGAATGAAACTACACTTCCAACATTGCTTTTGCATTGCAACAAACTTGAAAACATTTTCAATGCCGATGAGTTTGGACTATTTTACCAGTGCCTACAAAACAAAACATACCATTTATCACGAGAAAAATGTTTTGGGAAAAAAAATAGTAAAGTCAGACTAACAGGCATAGCAGCAGGAAGTGCAACGGGAGAAATATTACCTATGTTTGTTATTGGAAAATCTAAAAACCCACGGTGTTTTAAGCACATTAAACAACTTCCTTGCACATATAAAAATCAGCTAAAAAGTTGGATGACCGGAGACCTTTTTACAGAATGGGTTATGAAACTTGACTCAGTTTTTTCGTGCTCAAGACAGGAAAGTAGCACTCCTGGTGGATAACTGTTCTGCCCACCCACACATTGAAGGGCTAAGCAGCATCAACCTAACATTCTCCCCCCCCCCTTACACCACATCTGTCCTTCAGCCCATGGCTCAAGGCGTAATACGAAGTCTTAAAGCTCATTATAGTCACAAAGTTGTGCGTTTGTGTATCAAGGCTGTCGATAATAACGAACCCATGCCAAAAATTTCTGTACTTCAAGCAATGAAAGATCTTGTTTCTTCGTGGAATGCTGTGTCGAAGGAGACTGTCATCAACTGCTTTAAAAAAGCTGGTATCAGCAAAACAAACAAGAGTATTGAAGAAGCTGATGATGATCATCCTTTTAAATTTTTGACAGAAGAACTTAACCGTTTGCGAGAGTTAGATCCTCGTGCCGTCCAAAAAGATCTCTCAGCGGAATCTTACATTGGTTTAGATTGCGATGTAGTAACCACCGGTTCACATGCTACTGATGCTGAAATCATTGCTCAGATTTTAGACCCTAATTTTGAAAACGACGATAATGAAGTTGAAGATAGCGTTGACGAATCTATTGACGTCGAAGCCCCGCCACGCCCATCTAATATTCAATTAGAAATTGCTTTTGAAACGATTCGAAATGCTTCGCTATACAGCTTAAATACGGAAATGAAATACAATCCCTAGCACTAAAAGTTGAGGATTTAATGAAGATGGAAAAGATGGATAATTTAAAGCAATATCAGATAACAGATTTTTTCCAAAGGTTGTAGTTTTTGTTGTTAATGATTTTTGTCAGAAAAATAACTTGTTTTAATGAAAGTCGGGCAATTTTATTTTTTTCAACCCTTTTCTTGATATCTCGAACTCTTGATATCTCGAACTCTCGATATCTCGAACTTTTTTTCCGGTCCCCTTAGTGTTCGAGATATCGAGAGTCGACTGTACATACAATTTTACGAATTCTTTCTTTGCATAAATTAAATACCAATAAATAAAAAGTTTTTCGGTTTGCCACCCAATCGGATTTGTTTTAAATTGTAGGCTTTTTTTTAAACGAGTTTGTTCTATGCCTTAAGATCACGGCTTACTAAATAACAGGCCTTGCCAACGCGCGACTTGCGGAGGCAAGATAGTTTTATATTTGAAAAACTAGAAATTTCTCGAAAACAGTTATACAAAATAAATACGGGGGGTAGTTTTTTGTAATAATAATAATTTTATAAAATAAACTTTTTACTAAAATAAAACTAACTAATTAATTTTTATATATTATATTTTAGATAATATAATTTAAGTTAAATAAATATATACATACGTATCAGTTCAAAGTTTGCATAAAATATACGATTACAAAACACCCGTCAGTATTCAAACCAACTTTTAAGTTTTAAATGAAATGAATCAGTTTAGAAGTAAAAGGTAACGCGAAGTTTCTATATAAGTATTCTAAAAATGGTTCGTCGATGTTGTGTAACAAATTGCAATGGTAATTATAATCCTCAGAATAGAGTTAAAGCATTTCGACTTCCAAGAAACATTGAAGAGCGAAAACGTTGGATTGCTATAATACCAAGAGATAATATTCCTGATACTAATAACACCGTAGTATGTGAAAGACATTGGCCAAAAGGTTATTTAAATGTTAGTGATTATGGGAAGCTAAGACCTCGTGATGCTCCATTAGTATTTAGCTGCATAAAGCCAAGTTTAGTCCCAACTGTATCCGTGCCACTTAGAAAAACATCAAAAAGTCAATAGTGTTCGCTGGAAAAAAGAGGATGAGTTAACAATACTTAATTCTCACGAAAAGATAGAAAGTATAAATGTTTTATATGAAAAATTAAAAGCTAATGAATTTAATTTTTCTATTATCAATTACTTATGCAATAATGTATTATACATTCAGTCTTCAGATTTTTTAATGGAAAGTGCTATTTCTAGATTTCTTCTTCGCATAAATAAAGATTTCACTTGTGCAGCATTCCATTGTGGAGTTAAATGTAGTGTTATGACTTTGTCATCCAAAGTTTTTATTTTGAACAAATGTTCCTATATCCAAGAGACATTAAATTTTTAAATTGTTGTGAAATAACACACAAAAAAGAAGTTTTACATCAACAAATTTTGTCAATGAATAAAACATGCATTGGGGAAAAAAAGTATTTAATTGAAACAATTGTGTGAGCATTTGATTATTTTTGCCTTTCATGATCAGCCTACAGTCACATCTGTGAGGATTTTGAACTTCAAAGTTTACGCACTTTAGGAAGAATTACATCTTAATGTAAGTTTTTAGATGATACCGCTTACATCAAAGATATTTTTTCTAACCTTAAAGATAAAAGACAAAAAACATGCATTTTCTTGATGAGGTTTATGTTAAACACTTCTTGATGAGGTTTATGTCAAACCCATGTTACAATACCATGGTAGCATAGTATTTGGAAAATCACTTAACAAACCTCATCTACTAGCAAATACAATACTGAGCTTTTTGGTTGTAACATTGTTTAATGGACCAAAATTTCTATATAAAATGTTGCCAGTCAGAAAACATAATGCTGAATTTATTTTCGAACAGACAACCCTGATTCTTGATGCAAATAAAAATAATGGAGGCAATGTTGTTGCTATTGTCTGTGATGGTAACAGAGTTAATCAGAAGTTTTACAATTTTTTTGAAAAAAAAAAAAGAAGCATGGTGTACTAAAGATAATATATTTCTTTTATTTGATTATGTACATTTATCTAAAAGTATGCCTGGATAACAGAAAAAACTCAAGAGCTTGAATTCTAAACTGATGGAGAGAAAAAAAATAGCATGGTGGGTTGATATTATTAATTTGTACAAGTTTGAATCAAAGAACATTGCTAAAATATCTAAATTAAATTAAGTCTCTGTTTATCCAAAGCCAATTAAGTGTTTTGTGATGAAACACAAGCAGCATTAAAAAGTCATCCAGACCTGCATGAAAATGTAAAATGAATTATTTTAATTTCTAAAGTCATTGAGTTTTGGGAAATTTGTAACGTTCACAGTCCATATGCAGACATTTGTTTGAAAGACTCTTATAGATCTGCCATTTTTTTCTGCTGATGATGAAAATTTAAGCAAACTTTCTGCAATTGGTGATTTTGCATTACAAATAAAAAAAATAGAAAAAGGAAAAAGAACAAGTTACTAACTAAAGATACTGCTAAATGTTTAGCTCAGACCTGTTATGACTTGGTTCAGCTGTCGAAATATCTTTTAGACACAACTCATCAGTATGTGTTGTTAGGCAACTTTACAACAGATCCATTAGAAAAGCTCTTTGGAAAATTACGACGAGGCTCAGGAGGAACTTATTTTATTTCTGTTCAGCAAATTCTTGAAAAAGTAACTATATATCGCACAAAGTTGCTGTTAAAGTCTGAGAATAGTTCTGATGTGTTAATCAATCTTGGTTCAGTTCACTCTTGTTCAAAATGTAAATTTTTACTAAGCGAGGATATTTGCAACATTATTGACAATTTGCCTGCTCTTAGCGATTCATTGGCTGTCGATATTCAAATGTCATTAGTATATATTGCTGGGTACATTATTCGTAAAGATGAAAATCCAGATGACACCTTTTATTTCTATGAAGCATATGACAATTTTGTAAATAATGTAAATTTTTTTTTTTTTTTTTTTTTTTAATTCACCTCCTCAAGGCCGAGACGGCCACTACAGACGAGGAGGCTACTTATTTGTGGCTATAACCCTCTCTCAACTCTATAACTCCGAAACACGAACCTTGACGAACAAGGCCGCTGCGCGGAGAAACGAGTTGAGCGCGGTACTACCAGGGACGTGGTGGGAATCGAACTCATGGAGGTTTAACTATTCCTGGAAAATCATGGAGGTTTAACTATTCCTGGTGACTAAGTCTGCCAATGGGCAACTTACTGTTACATTCTTCTTTATGAAGTATGCAATAACACTTGTCGATCATCACTATGTAACCTCCTTATGATGGTATCAGAATACTACTCATTAGGTATAGAAAGACATCACTGATTAACAATGACAAACATTTTGTTAAATAATTATTGTAGACTCTATTCACCTCGTTCGCTTAAGGAGCCAAAATAGAAGCTGATAAAACTTAGTACAAATTAGATGTTTGCAATCTTTTAAACAAAAACTTGTGTTTTGTAAAATATCTTTATAAACTTGTATTTACTTTTTATTCTACAAAAAAATTTTTTTTGTATGGATATCTCTTTTATCTCTCAAATTTCTTATATTAAACCCACTAAAGAATTTTGTGGTTAAAGCTGTTTTAGAAGAAGTTTTAGCAAATTATAAATTTTAATTTACTAAATCTTTGCAACACAATTTAGTTTTAGATATACTTAATAATTAAAATTAAAATAAGTATATTAACAAATTTTTTTTTTTTACTTTTTATAAGTTACTTTTAATAGGTAAGGTATACACAAAAACAATATTCAGGCGAAAATCACTTAAACTGAAAATGTAAATTGCTACGAAATAATTTTTTTAAACTTGCCTCCAGTTTTTTACGCAAGCCGCGCGTTGGCAAGACCTGTTATTTCTTAAGGTGAAATGGAAGAAGCAAACTTGACTAATTTTACTTTGTAACCAATAGCGGCAGAGTATTTTTTGAGGAAAAAACCCATACTATGTCGCTATTGGTTGCAATGTAAAGTTCAAGTCGAGCTTGACTCAAGTTCGCTTCTTGCATTCCACCTTTAGTTGCATTGAGTAATGTTTTGACTATGGTTAAAGCTTTCAGCAAGGACTTCTAAAGTAGGAGTCCGCTCATGCGGAATGTGACGTCGCATTAGTAGTTCATTGTTATTTGTCTTATTTTAAAAAGATTTATTTTTATTATAAGCTTTTGCAAGATAAATTTTTTATATTTTAATCAATTTAAATTTTTTTTTTCTTTTTTTCATTATCTTCGCTTCCAACAAGGCTGCAAGCAACCACTAATTAGTGATGAAAGTTACTGGAAGGGAAAAGATGAAGATTGTAGAGCAAGATAACGATTGACAGACGACTTAAAAGATTGCAAATTATATGAATAAGGAAAGCAAGATGAAGGAAGCGAATTCCAAAGAACTGATGTTCGAGGAAAAAAACTAGACGAATAAGAGTTTTTAGAGCACTTAGGAACAGTAACAGAAAAAGGATGAAACTTAATTGAATGACGAGTAACACGAGAATGAATTTTTGTAGATGGTACAAGAGACGCTAGCTCTTTCAAGCAGTGCCCATTATAGTATTTGTAAAAAAGAGAAAGAGAAGCAACATTACGACGATGTGACAGAGGTTAAAGGTTGGCTGCAAGAGCAGGTCCAACAATGTTTACAATGCGTTTTTGAACCTTTTCTAAAAGAGAAAGGGCATCATTAGAAGATCCGCCCCAGATATGGCAACAATATTCCATACAAGGCTGGATTTGAGATTTATAGAGATAGAGAATAGAATCCAGAGTAAGAAAGTGACGAGCTCGATAAAGAGAAGAAACTTTAGCAGATGCTAATTTTGCAACGGATTTGATATAAGGTTTCTAAGAAAGATCAGAAGTAAGAGTTAATCCTAGAAGATGAAGGGTAGGAGACTCATCGAGTACATTACCGTTCATAAATATAGGAAGGTCTAAACTATTGCGATAACGATTGGCCGAAAAAAAAAGAGTTTTATCTGAATTAAAATTCACCAGCCACCGTGAACCCCATGCTGTAGCAGAAGTGAGATCCATTTCAAGCTCAGATGCCCCCTGCAAGCAATCAGAGGGAGTCGGCTTCTTATCGTGACAAGAATAAATGGTAGTATCATCAGCGAACAATGCCACCTTAGATGTGAGAATATATGGAAGATCGTTAATGTAAATTAAAAAGAGTATAGGGCCAAGGATTGAACCTTGGGGAACCCCTAAGGTTACAGAATAAGAAGAAGAGTGCTGTCCATTAAGGACAACTTTTATACTACGATTGGAAAGGAAAGATTCAATAATCTTAAAGATGTTTCCAGATACACCATAAGAAGAAAGCTTATGGAGGAGACCAGCATGCCAAACTTTATCAAACGCTTTAGAAATGTCAAGAGCAATGGCCTTAACCTCTCCACCTTTATTTAATGCGCGATAAAACCTATCGGTTATTACTGATAGCAAATCAGCCGTAGAACGAGAAGATTGAAATCCATATTGATGATCAGAAAGTAGGTTATGAGATTTGGGATGAGAGATTAAGTGTTTGTTAATTAAAGATTCAAAAACCTTGCTTATGATAGGAAGAAGACTAATGGAACGGTAGTTAGACGAATCGGATCGCTGTCCAGAATTTTTAAAAATAGGGATAACAAATGCTGCTTTTCAGCAGGCTGGAAAACAAGACTCTGATAAGCACTTGTTAAATAGTTTTGAAAGGATAGACAACAGCTCCGGAGAACACTTCTGCAAGACTATAACAGGTATGTTGTCCGGGCCGCAAGCTGTAGAAGTGTCTAAGCGGGAAATCACTTTAGATACAGAAGCTGGAGTGATACGAATGTCTAGCAATGGATCAACCTGTTTGACGGCTATATCAGGTAGAATGCAACTAGTGGCATCAAGAGATGATATTGATGAAAAGTTCTTGGCAAACAATTCAGCTTTGTCTTTAGGTGAGGTGACAAAGTCTGAACCGTACAAAAGAGGTGGAATTACAGACTTGTCCTTATTATTGATACTATCAGAAGTCACGAAAGCCTAATTTTTGTG